AACAGCCACATTAGAGGGAGACAGACAGGAGGCAGGGCCAGTGGTCCAGCCCAAAAACGGAGCGGGTGTAGACCCGTCTGCTCAGGCCACAACCCAGGACGTCCCACAATCACAGCCATTCAGGGCTCCTGGAATGTGTCCCCTGGAAGTTCAGGCAGGTCAGCTATCTGTGGAAAATAAGCTGCTCCGTTGTTTCCAGGCACTGTGGCAACCAAACTACAACCCCTGACAAACACACACAGACCCCATCCCAAACCTGACTGTCCATCCCACCCTGTCCTCAGACGTCCCCCTTTGTGTTAAACTGTCAAACTGCCAAGAGGTAAAATGGAGGGAGGTGCTACGGTACATGTATCGAACACATGCACATTCAATGGCAGCTCTTCTACAATAAAATACGATACACTCTGTCCCCTGTTGTATCTATTTAAGACACTTTTCTCCTATGTTCATGTAAAAACCTTAATATATTTCTGTCCAAACAATGATGTTATATTTATCAGTCAACAACAGCACAGACTTTTGATCATTTGCTGACACTCTAGCATGTAAAACATGTGCCTTCACAGTTTTTAAAGCCATGAGTAACAGTGAGGTTTAAAACTCTGCTCGTCCCACCAGCGTTCAACACCTCCACACATCCAACTGAACAAATCACACCCAGCAAGTGTCTCTTCACTTGTTGAATTCCTGTTGAATTTTAAAACTGTGGTGTGACAGAGAGCCAGAGAAAAACTAAATTAAGAAGACACAGAGGAAGTACCAGAGAAAAATTAATCCTTACAGAGATTCGACAAAATACTCCCTAAAATCTCTAAAATATTTGCCTCAGATTTAGGGGTAGAGAATGACGATAAAAACAAATAGCACAATGTTATCAATTAAGTCTCGGATCACAGTGCCAATGTTATGTCAGTGCACAGAAAAGAGGGATTGTTAACAGCAAAATACACAAAAAGATTCACTACTGCTTGACTGACAAGTAAAACAATATTGTTTTGACACAAGAGCCAGCTGAGAGCCATTAAGAGCTAACATCAAGATTTCTGCTAAGCTCCCACTAAGCTTCAAGTGAATCCACTGTTAACGTATATTAGCAGGCAGCTGCATTAAAGACTGCCGACAGCAACCAAGGTTTGCCGTTTTTTTCCTATGAAGTATGAACACCAACAAAATAACTCTCCACCAGTGGAACCATTGTTTTCTCAACTGCAGGAGTGACTGCACTCACCCCAGTTGGAGGTGGAGGACTCACAATTTCCACAAAGTTGAACTCGCACACACTTTGCAGCTGACCTTTCATAAAGCTTCCAATCAGATTACAACTTTATGTGACATTCAATGTGTGTGAGGAGAAATTAATCTTGTGTGTATTTGAGTTTCCACAATTGCGTGGTGACATCATATGTCGGCTATCAGACAAGTCGAGGAGGTTTGTAAGTTTGGCCGGTCTGGCTTACTCTCCTTTTGTTGGCCCAAGTTCATCGGCTTGTTTGCTGATACAAGCGGCAGCCTTTTATTCGGCTGAAAAACAAACTTAAGTTTACACAACCCTGCTTGTGACTGGATTGAGGTAGGTTTGAATCCCCATATTGATTGGGAAAAATAAACTTGGATCAGCATTTATTCAGTAGCCAAAGGCAGACTGTGGCTGAACTGGGTCACTCTCAAGTGTGAATATGTATGCACTAGGTGAAGCAGGGTCATTTCAAAAATGCTATGCTTTGGAAAAGTTATTAATTTACTAAAACATTAATGTCAAAAGTCAAAATTAACTGTAATTCTTCAGGAGGTAACTACCATTTTTAACCCTGAAAAAAGTCAAACAGTTTACCACTAAGACTGGGACACTGAAACTGCCTCAAGAAAAACAGCAACCTACAGTGTCAGGCTGTTGTGGAGAGAGAGGGAGGGTGAAGGGTGAGCAGTCCTCTAGCGCACACACACACTTCAGAAAGCAGAGGAAGAGTCAAATGAAAGCAAGGCAGCTTGGTAAAAGCTGATTTTTACCAACATACAAATTAATCCAGGAAAAGGTAAATAATTATTATGGTGCTCTCCACTGTACAGCTAAACTACCACTGTTTTTCTGCTTTAAAAAACAATCATTAGGGATTAATAATTAACATTCCTAATTGAGGCAGTGCAGGGGGGAAGGGGAGGCTGGTCTGTCCTGGAAGAAGTAATTGAGTTAAAGGCCAAGTGCTCCTATTGAAGGAAACCAATTTGTCCCAGAGGGGCAGCTTCATCACTTTATTTGGCAGAGATGCAGCATGCTGAGCAGAGATGCTAACCATTCCAAGCTGAGGGGAAATCATTCTAATCTCATGACTCCACCCCCACAATGCTTTGTTCCACTTTTGCGATACACTCTAATTCAAAACAGAACCAAACAATGAAACTTGGAGGAGAGTCCTCGACGAGTACAGAACAATGCACCTCTGACAAGAGAAGAAAGTTTGAAAATATGTGTCACGTTATACTGGGGTGTGTTCCTTGAAATTTTTTTGTTTTTGTTTTTTTGGTCCTCGCTGAGATTTACAAGAACGTTATGAGTTAACAAGGCATTTTAATTATAACTGATGATAGTTAAAATTGTGCCTATAACTGCCAATTTGCCTTTGGGCCCCACAACCCAAGTTAAAAACCACACGTTTTGAGGTTAACCAAAATCTAACGTGTGTGTATACACATGTGCATGTATAGAGCAGGATCCATATAGAACAATTTGTGAAAAGCAAGAAAACAGTTCCATTATTCTCATTATTTAGGCAATATGTATAGGAGATATGGGTTTATCCAGTCTTAATATGAAAGTTTTTATCCTGTACCTTTCATCGTAGATTTAATGACTGTCCATGTTAAGTATGTTATGTATTGCCCCTGTTAAGTAAGCTGCAGCAATTTAATAATCTGTCCTATACCAACACATGAGTGGTGGTCTGCTGGACTTAAATCAATAAAATTTTATTTGTATTGTGTCAAATCATAACAGACGTTATCTCAGGACACTTTCCGAATAGAGCAGGTCTGGACTATTATAACGTATTCCTTGTAAAATTATGGTCAGTTTTGTGTTACCCCACAGGCGCTGTGAGGTTTATTCGCTGATGGCAGCCATAGTTGAGTGAACCGATGGGACTAAAATGCGGTAATTAAATTTCATTTAAAAGCCGTTAACATTTTACACTTTAATTACAGCAGCTCTACGTGGCTAAGTGAGACCCTATTTAACAAAGCTTTTTTTTAAACTTATGACAAGTGTGCAGTTTCAAGTCTCTGCCATTTACAAATCACATGGAAAAATTAGGAAGTGTGCAGAGAACAAGGAGAAGGCCTACCTAACAGGTTAGTAACAAGTAAACACTTTGTTAAGCTGAGGTGTCAACATGAGCACGGACAGGCCAAAAAGGGACTTGAGTCTGAGAGCCACAGCAGAAGGCAGACATTGTACTGCTGATTCAGTCTGGTCATGTCATCGCTGCCACAGACACAGTGGCTTACGTGTCTGCTATCATTGCCACAGGTGTGTGTGTGTGTGTGTGTGTGTGTGTGTGTGTGTGTGTGTGTGTGTGTGTGTGCTGTGTCTGTGTGCCTGTCTGTCTGTCCTCTCCACCTCCCTTACACGTCCTGTCCTGTCCTGCTGCCAGCATCACCATAACTACACAGACAGCCACTGATGTCACTCCTCTCTGACACATACACACAAAGGAACGACGAGGAAACGGGGACTGCCTGTTCCTTTGACGAAATCAGAGACACCACACAATGTTTCTGCCCTCTACACATAATCAACCCATATCGATGCTGCTGTGATAAAGTCTCTTGTTAAACAATGATTAGCTTTTGGAATATCTGGAGTATGAGTAATAAAAAAATCAGGCTTCAACATCCTAAAGCACACACGCCTCCTCCCCCCTCTGGCTGTACCATTCATAATAAGCACTGAAGAACAGAACAGAGCACACTGATAAACACTGAGGCCTACATAAATACAGGACAGACTATGCACGTGTGTATGAGAGTGTGTGTGTGTGTGTGTGTGTGTGTGTGTGTGTGTGTGTGTGTGTGTGTGTGTGTGTGTGTGTGTGTGTGGACTCCAGCTCTCATCTGGGTCATTCTTGACTCAAACAACACCTATCTAAATCTCCGCTGCTTGCACAGAATGGCAAAGAGTGGCAACACTTCAGCTCAAGCTGTGTGAGGGCCATTCGACAGACCCTAAAAATAGCTGCAGTGTGTACATTAGAAGAGCAGTGTAGGTAAGTGAAGAGTCGGTATTTACAAGGTTTAAAGTTGGGAGGCTGGGATCACTGTGCACAGTGAGTATGCTAACAGTCTCTCCCAGTCAGACAGGAGAATAAAAGGTTTTCCCTTTAGTTATTCCCTTCTAAGCTACTGCATGCATTGTAACTTATCCAAGTGCTTGTTAACGCCCCCTAAACCCAAACAGCCTGTATGGTTGAATGGAGGCTGGAAGGAGGGGGCTGAGGATGTTTAAAGAGGCAACACTATCCAGTGTTTTGTGGGTTACCTATTAATGACAAAGACAGAATATTTCTCCTCTGCCAGCTTTCATTGGCTCACTACCCTTCTAATCCCTCCCCCTTCCCCCCAATCTACAAATTTACACTTACAAACATAACTAAGAAAAATTAGCGTTTTGTATTACTGTTCTTCAATGCAACCAAAGACTTCGACTTATAAGCATGCCTCATTTTGGAACTGATGAAGGGAGAGGCGTTCTTCACAGTGTGAAGAATGTTTAACACGAGGGCAAACTTCCAGAAAGACAGACACTACCTCCAACAATCTGTCAGTGCTGCTTCAGGTAAAGACCTTAACTTATTTTAGGGATAGGTAAATTGATATCTATACTATAATATTGCATTACTGCCCACAGCTGAACAAAAAAGCAGAACTAAAAACAGTAGTAAAACAATATTAATGGAAAGAACACATTTCACATAGGCCTTTTTTTTTGCATTAAACCCTCTTACCTGTCCTCATCCACATTCATGGTAATATGGATGCCAAACAAGCTGTTGACGGGAGTGGGCAGGTTGAGGCCCTCGCCGATGAAGGGATTTACACCATCTTTCCCCGGCACCACACCGGCACTGGGCTGAGGTAGGGCATCAGACTTCTGCCTACTATCTTCTGTCTGGATGGTGAAGCCGGCGGGAAGGCCTGTTGTGGCACCTCCGTGGGCTCCTACCAAGGGGGTGTTGGTGGTAGTGGGCACTGTGGCAGGTGCGTTCTGGACACTGCTGTGGGAGGTGGTTGTGGTGGAAGGTGCAAGTGCAATGCCTATCCCTCCTGAAGGCTGCGTCTGGCTGACATGCTGCTGTTGGCCACTTCCTGGAAGAATGGGGGCCATGGTTGGAGCATTACCCACTTGCAGCAAGAGGCCCTGGGCTGGGCCTGCCTCTCCGCCCAGCCCTTGGGCTCCGGGACCAGCACTGGTGATTAGAGGCGAGGGTACCTGGCTGGTTGGAGGCCCCACAGAGAGGGCCGACATGGCAAAGTTCTGAGTGCTTGAGCCTAAGTGCTGCTGACGATAGTCCGGCTGGCCAGGTGAGAGGCCAGTGGGATGAGTAGAATAGGCAAACTGCTGGGCCTGCGTGGCAGGAGGCATAATGGGAGACTGCTTCATGGCACCTTGGTGCACACCATTGAGGCTGTTAGAGAGGAAGGTTTGGGGAGCAACAGGCTGCATATTGACTTGAGCCTGTTGTTGTTGCTGTGATGCTGTAGTTGTAAACCCAGTGGGCTGGAAGGCACTTGCCCCGCTCCCTATCTGAGGAGCCAAGCTGTAGCCTTGCTGCAGAGGCTCTGAAGGGTGGGGGTGGGCGGGGTGCCCGGTGGAATAACCACTGTCTGCGGTGGTCTCCGAAGCCTGTGCAGAAAAAGCACTGCTAGTAACCACAGAGTTACTCGTGGCCCCTAGCCCACTGTCCCTGTCTATACTGTGATCAAGGGTTACAGTTGGCTTTATGCTATCCACAGTTCGATTAACATTTGAATCCGAATCCCTCTCATAGAACTCAGTGCATGTCCACCTGCCCCGTCTGAAGGGCTCTCCTGTACCATGGTCAAGTTTAATGACCCTGAAACGGGAACTACAGCTGGTGCTCACAGGAGCAGTGTGAGCCACATTAGTAGAGACAGTGGCAGCAGGGGCCGAATTGATGACTGTGGAGGGATGGGTGGCTGAGCTTGGAACAAAGGGTTGAGCTGTAGCTGGCACAGGCACACTTCCTCCTAAATTATGTGGGGTGACACGACCAGTAGTGCCTATACTTTTATAATTGAGCCCCCCGTTGACAGGACCTGTGGAAGACGGCTGGCCCTCCTGATGCTCTCCGACGTTGTTTAAGGTTTCCTCCGATGAACTCCTCTCACACACCCCCATGTCGGCCCGAGAAACGTCAAATATTTCCGACGACACGTCCTCTGTCCGGGACTCGTCCGGATCTTCCAGGCTCTCGGTGTCGTCGGTGATGCTGCTGGCCGCCACCTGAGCCTGCGTTACACTCGTGATCTGGAAGCAACTTTTCTTCTTAGGCGGCATTTTCGACATGTTGACTATCTGCGTCAAGTCCGTCTGCCCCCCACCCAGATGAAACAAAGTGCTGGACTTAATGTCTTGCGAAGTAATTCACAGCTGAGGGATATGACACAGACACGTACCGTCACAGGACATTTCCATACCGTTCCTCTTCCTCTCTCGTGTCGGAGAAAAGTGTCACAACCGGGGCCAGACCCTGCGAAACTCACAAAATGTTCGGCGGTGTCCGGTCGCAGCACACAGGCGACCGCTGTCCCTCCTACTCCGGCTCCTCTGACACCCCGGGTCGGCCTTCCTTGCGTCTCGGCAGCGGAGTTGCAAACAGGCCCTTGTCAAAGTTCTTGTTCAGCAGCTGCCACCGGTACTTTAGTCTGAGGCGGGCCCGGTCTCACAGACCACTCTTCTCTCTCAGCTAGCGTTGTATGTGTTACTCGCCGACTAGCTGAGTTAGCTGATGTTAGCTAGTTTTCCCTACCTCGGTACCAGCATGTGCGACATCGTGATGTAAACAAATCCACTGGCTGTTGAAAAAGAAAATATAATCCAGCGGTAGACGGAGAAAACGTCTCAAAGTCAGTGAAGTTTTGCCTCTCGCCGTGTGGACAGCTTACTTTTGGCAGCTGCTACTAGCGGCTAGCTGACAGATAACCAGTTTACCCCAGCGGCAGTAAGCTAACAGGCTGCTAACTCCTGGCTGCCACTCTTCTACCCCAACCACTCGACAAGATGGCAAGAGCGAAGTGCATCCTGGGTACCGAGGTCAAACTAGTTTTTTTTTTTTTTTTTAGTTATCTCTTTAAAAAAATATATATATTTTAAAAAAAATCTACGGCACCACAAACGGTTTATGTTACGTACAGTTTGTAAAGTTTTTGTGGCTGTCAACAATTTAAAATTAGCAGAATTAATTTTACGCGGTTGAAAAGTATTTCTGTCGCCGTCGTCACTTCCGGTTAACGTCCCACCCAGTTACAGGCAGAAAGAGAGTTCGTCAGCCGTCCACAGATGTTGGCTTTTAGGGGTGATGCAGGTCTTATAATTGGGCGATTATACCTCACGAAATACAAATGCAGCTTTGCAAATATAGGTATTTGTGTTTACTGTTGCGTCTACCACCGCTTTCATGCGAAACAATGGCCTTTTAAATCATCTGAATTTGCCAGACAGAATAAACTGTTGGATTTGGAGGCACCTTTTGATTTAATCTCTATTGCCATATTCAGTTTCTATCCGGGATTTAAGTCTGAAACATTCATTGTTTAAAAGCGCAGACTAAAACCAGCCAGTGATTTAAATCAACTGAGTCATGGTGGGAGTTGTTTTTTAATGAATCACTTAACTCCGGGAAATCTTAGAGCCTGTATCCTATTCAGACACGAGTTACTTTGCATAATGTTGCCTAACAGGGATGACAGTCATCAATGTAATATTTATGAATGTACAGGTTTGTGTCTGACTGTGAAATATGGATGTCATCAATAAGGTGCGCCTGATACTTTATTAATCCCATGTCTTTATTACTCCATTACATTAATCACAAAACAAACATAAGGACATTCAAGAAGTTAGAAAATGATAACTAAAATCTTTAACTAGAAATTGAATAAAATGAAAATATGAAATAGAGGGAACCGTTGATCGTTTTGTTGATGGGAGAAAATTACAATCTGATTTATAAACTTGTAATGCATAACACATGAAACTTAATTATTGAGTTACAAGGCAAATGTCAAAACAGACAACTTAGACTTCTCTTGTGTGAAAGTCGACATCACCTTTCAGATGATTGTTTGTCACCAGCATCAGCTGGGCTGCAAAGGGCTGGAAGATGTCAGCAAACTAACTTTTGATGGGCCAAGCACATTCAAAACATCAGCTGCCACAACATGTATCATAAAAGAAACACAGCCGTGCCAGCTCCTAAACCGGTGGGTAATATAAACCCAATCTCCAGTACGATATATTAATGTTTGGCTGGTGGCCAGTGTTCGTATTCACTCATGTCCAGGAAGCAGGAAGTGCCTCATACATATGGCCCATGACTATGGTGACCCCTAAGGGTATAACACAAAAACAAACACTCTCAATCATTTGGAGAAATACACTCTTGTCTATGTTTTAGTATTTGAAGCATTTCATATTTTAGACTGCATTTCCCTCCATTTTTAAATTTTATATTGTTGTTATTTTGTCACTAGAAGCCAAAGTAAACAACACAAATATTAGATGTGTTCCTAAGAAGCAGATGTGATATCCAGTTTCCTACTATGTAAATTCCCATAGCTTATATCTAGTCTGACTTGCTCCAGAGACTGAAGCTGTATGATTACAGCGCCTTCCTTCAATTGAATTTGTTATTTGACATTTGACCCGTAGTCCTGCTTTGGAAGGATAAAAAAAGATTTATCATCACACTATAATATTGTTTGTCCTTTAGGGGTGTTATCTCTTAGTAATACATACACACACTCACACACACACACACACACACCCTAAAGCAGTACAGGGTTACTCCTGCGAGGACAGAAATGTTCACTTTCTGGACATAAATGATGTTTGAATAAGAAGTTCAAGAGGTTGGAGCCTCTGATAAAGAGGTGTGTCAGACGGAGCCACCTTAACACACTGATACTGCCCAGGTGACGAAGTGTGAAGTCACACCTTAATTTATATGACCACATGAGTCATATGCAACTTCAGCAGTTCACCTGTAACATATAAGGTGTGAAGTTTAAATGATTTATACTTGTCGTCATCAATAAAACCGATAAAACCTTTTGAATTAAAGGATATGTATTTTTTTTTAAAATCTGCAATATGTTGGCACTTTTAGACACTAAAGTAACTTGTTTATCTGATGTCATACACACTATTAATGACTTCAGCTACTGATGGTGACTCATTAGCGATGAACTTATGACTAGAGGTTATTGCTTCAATAAAGCCCATCAAAGGCTTGTGCTTGACTGCAGGACAGTTTGTCACAAGATTAACACATGACACAACAAAAAAAAAGAAATGGGTCATGGTGTTGTTCTATGCTTGTCTGACGTCAGCTCTGATAATGGTGAAGGTTATGTTGATCTCTTTGTCTGCTAGTAAGCAATATGTCTCATTTCAAAATTCCAATATAATGAGTTAGACCATGATTGCAGATCTGGGTTCAACCATTGATCTGGAATTAAAAAAAGAAATCTCTGTCGGACAGCCTCATGGCCTTTGGGTAAAAGACCATGCAATCACAAACGTCACCTGTTAAAGTTCAGCTGGGGATCTTTATTGTATCTCTCTCCTCTTATTTCTTGTCAGCGCTCATCTGTCACCTATAAAGACAGAAATACGACCTTAATAATAATATTGTCACTACTTTATCACAAACGGCTTTATGTACTTTATTCTCTGTCACACACACAAACAACATACACAAAATAATACACAACAATTAACCCACCAACCCCCAACCCTGGCAGCAACCAAATCCACATTACAACTGGCCTTAGTAGATCCAAATGGAGGAAGACATTTAAATAAAAACAATGCATATTTAAACATACAAATAATTAAACACATACATACATATAGACTTCATATACATAGAAACTACACCTTCATGAATAATTTGAAACGCAAAGATAGCTGTGTATTTTTTGCATAACAGAAGTCGTATCGTAGCTCTTTTACCCTATCATTAAAGAAAGCCCAGACACTGATGGTTGATAGTTTGGCATTTTGCATTCTTGCTGCTGACAACTCTGTATATGCTATGAATACATTTTTATCCTCCTATTTTTGTCTGGTTAGAAACATGATGCAGAATCCAGAGAATATAGAGCAGGAAAGTGTACCTGCCTTGACAATGGAAACAGAGGTGTCAAATAGAAACATCCATCCAGTTTGACTTCAGCATACACTGACACGTGAGGAAAATCCAAGTTGTAATGCACACAGGTGGAGTTTGGAGCTCTCTGCTACATTCAAAAGCAGTGGTAGAAGAAATATTCAGGTTTTTACTCGTATGAAAGTAGCAAAAACACAGTGTAAAACCTACTCAATCAACCATAGGTCCTGCATAAAATCTACCTTAAATAAATGAACAGAAAGTATTTTTTTTTAGCTACAGTATCAAAAGTAAGTATTCAACTCTCTGGATGCTGTAACTGTTACATTATTATATACTGCATTATAGATGATTACTATTTTTGAGTATTTCCATTTTTGATGCAAAAACCACAACATTATATACTGTTGGGTAGTTTAATCTATAAAAATAAATCATATTTTTTAAAATGATCATATGGTTTGTGTGTAGAAATCTGCAAAATAATGGGTAATTATTGCTGTTCAAATGAATGTAGTGGAGTAAAAAGTACAATATCTCCCTGTTGTGTGGTGGAATAGAACCAGAAAATGTAATACGTGGGAAAAGTTACTTTCCATCATTGTTCAAAACAAAATCTGACCTTCTTTGTTCAAATGAGACTGAAAGTGTCCACTTGGAAGAACTGTAGCCTAAAAAGTAGGGTTTACAATTTGTTTATAACACCCTCCGTCCTCAGACCCTCCATGGCAAAATACCGAACTGCAGTTGTAGAAAATGGCCGTAAAAATACGAACAGGACTGTGCTAAGGAGGAGCTGGTATTCTGCCTGTCTTTTATTTATTGCAGTTTTATTGCTCTTAAAAAACGACAACTGTGCGATTACAACTAACCATAGTATTTTCATAAACTTTATTACACTGGTGATGAACAGTGGGTTGAAAGTAGCTCTTCTGTATTATTCCCCTGACACGACTGACTAATCATTGAATTACAACGTTACATAATGTCCGGGTGCCGACTCACAAGGTCTGTCTGACAAAAACAATTTCGTCCAGTCCTCAGATAAGACAGAGGAGATGGAAAACAACTCAATACGAATAGGGCTTGACGCACAGTAATACAATTACTGTTCCTGCTGCATTTTATAAGAGGTTGAAAGACAGTGTCAAAAGATTCTGATTTAATTTAAGCATATTTGTTTGGAAAACTACTCAAAAATAGCTCTTTTGAAGGCTTATGATAGAAACATTTAATCAGCAGTTTTGCATCTCCTTCAAAATGTTTCCAGATGTTTTTATTAGCTAAAAAACATCTTACTCCTCTAAATGGACCTAGAAACATCTCCCTCTAAAAACAATGTTGCGACATCAGCTCCAACAAGCCCCTCTATACTTAGACGCCCTCCTTTGGTAGCGGGGTGTGCGTGGGCTTTCCCAGCCCCCAGCCAAAGTGTTTGTGTAGCTGGTTGTGTTTATTTACTCTGGTCTGAGGGCGAAGACTACCAGGCTGTGCTGCGGCGCGTCACAGTCCAACATGCTGGGTCCACTCTCAGTGTACCACCACAGTAACAAGACCGGTGTTGTAGTATCGCTGTATTTTGGGGCCCAGGGTCTAGGCCAGCGGTCACTTTCAGCAGCCCAACCTGGGAGACCCCTGGCCTTTAGCAAAGCACTATGGGGTCCGAGAGTGCACGGTCAACAAACAAACTGACCAAACATCACTCAGCACTTGCTAAAAGAAGGGCTTCCCCAGAGAAAAGGGTACAAGGGGGTTGGTTCAGGGCAACTTGACCAATCTGAAACTGAAATAATGAAATAATGAAATATGCACGTGAACCTTGTGTATGGTTTCATGTTTATTGGGCTCCTCTTTCCAGAGAAAACACACATTGGCTTGTTAGTTTTGACCCGGACCA